CCTCGTCTATCCAAGGCAGACCGAAGGGGTCTTTAGGGCAATGTTTTATTAAGATCCGTGTAATCAATGCACATTTTTTATTCTTTATTCTTTTTTTGAACGAGAACAGAGTTTGCTAACCACTCAGGATGATACACTTCTTTTATGAATCTGGTAGCTAGGAGCCGTTTTATTTCTACCCTAATAGCCTCCGTCTTGTCTGGCGCGAATCGTCAGAGTTTCTGCTTGATCGGTTTGGCGGTCAGCGAGACATTCAAGGAGTGCTCGATCTTCTCCCGTGGTACCACCGGCATGTCTGTAGGTTTCCAAGCAAACACGTCGGCGTTGGCACGTAGGAAGGAGATGAGCGCGCTTTCCTATTTGGGGTCGAGGTGAGCCCTAATCTTCACGGTCCTGGAGGTGTCGTCGAGGCCGAGGCCGACCTCCTTGGTTTCCTTGGACTTGGCGGAGGCGCTAGGAGGCTCCAGTGATGGGATCTCCAGGTCATCGGTGGACACCGTCTTGGCGTCGGTGACCACACTGGGCATCTAGATGGAGAGGTCGGTGGCTTCGGCGAGGGCGAGACTCTCTGTCTCACAGACGTAGGCGATGGAGAGGTTGGCCCGCAGGGCTAGGACTCCTGCAGGCGAAGGCATCTTCAGCACTAGATAAGTGTAGTGCAGTACAGCCATGACTTGGCCAGAGCTGGCTGACCAAGTATGGCATGGTAGGCGGTGTTGAAGTCGGCGACGTAGAAGTTGATGTGCTTGACGCGGAAGTTGCTCGTCGTGCCGAACTATACTGGTAGGGTGATCTCTCCAAGCGGTTTGGATGCCCTGCCAGGTACCACACCCTAGAAGAAGGAGTCTAAGGGTGTGAGATCTGTTATCCCGAGGCCCAACTCCTTTATGGCTCCGGCGAAGAGGAGGTTCAGAGCGCTCCCACCGTCGACGAGCACTTTTCTGAAAAGCACTTTCTGGACGGTTGCGTCAAGGACGAGGGGGAAATGCCCTGTGTTAGGGATATCTACCCACTGGTCAGCCTTACTGAAGGTGATATGGACCTCGGACCAGGGGCAATAGTTGGGATTGGCGGTGGTGTCATCTGCGTTGACGGCGAGCACTTGTCGAGCAGTGAGTTTCTTTTCTCTTCTGCTCTCGGTGGAGGTGAGGCCCCCAAAGATGGTGGCGACCACCTTATCGTGATCCTAGAAGGCATTGTTGTTGCCCCCAGGTGGTCGGTAGACTCCGACTCCATCGTTGTTGTCGTCATCCGGCTTTTTGGCCTAGAACTCCTTAGCCAAGCCGAGGCAATCCTTCATCTTATGTTTGGCGTTCTTGTGGAGAGGGCACGGGCCGTCGAGGATCTTCTTGTACTGCTCATCATAGTTGCGCTTGGCTCGAGGCTCATCAACAGCGGTGATGATATGGTTTGGTCGGTGGCGGCGATATTGACCAGACTTGGAGCCTTCTGGCCGATCACGGCCACCGTCCTGATGATGATTGCGGTCGTCATAGCGGCGGTCGCTGTGGCATCGGTCATCGGGGCGATCGTCGATATGGCGAGTTGGGCGATGAGTGTCTGTATCCTCGTTGAAGCGCACCTCGGCTTCCTCGACGTCGGCATACTGGTTGGTGATCGTGATCATCTCGCCAATCCCTATGGGCGGCTTGTGGTTGAACTTGGAGCGAAGCTCGCGGTGATGGAGTCCTCGGATGAAGGCGGTGATGACCTCAGCTTCCATGATGTTGTGAATAGAATTCCTCATCTCAGAAAAGCGTCTGATGTTGCTACGGAGGAGCTCGGACGGCTTCTGGTAGATGCGGTTCAGATCATGCTTGGTGCCCAGCCGAGTACACGTAGCCATATAGTTGTCAGTGAAGACTTTTTTCAACTCTTCCTAGGATCCGATGGAGTCCGGGGGAAGGCTTGTGAACCAGTTCATGGCGGTTGGCATGAGCATGACGGGAAGATAATTCGCCATGACACTAGTATCTCCTCCGGTGGTGCGCACAGCAGTGGCGTAAGCCTGTAGCCACTGTGTGGGGTTCATCCTTCCCTCGTAGGGCTCGACCCCGGTGATTTTGAAACCACGGGGCCACTGAAGTGTTCGGAGCACCCTCGTGAATGCTGGGGGGCCTTTGGAGTTGTCGGTGCCGTCGTCTGCAGCGTTGCCGGCGTTGAGCGGCTCGAGAGCTGAGTCCGGGTTACCGTACTCTTGCTCGTACTCTTGGCGATGGCATACTTCTTCATGGCAACTAAAGCGGCGTTTGTCGATACGTCGTCGTGCATCTCGGAGATTGTTGAGGTGCACTCGAACATCTTGGTCGACCTCCTAGTCGTGTTGGCGATGATGTTCAATGCGGTTGCCCCTAGCTCCGCCCTGGAGGGGTTGCCTGTCGTCGCTGTGCTGGTCGGTGAATCGACTTGGGCGGCGATCGGATCTTAGCGCAACTGATCGGCGAATCGAGCTTGTGGAGTATGAAGGTCTCTGATCCTGACGGATCTCATTGACCTGGTAGTGCGCCACTTTAAGCATGGCGGCGACCTTGGCGACCTCTGGTGTCTGCGGGAGCCAGGCGAGCTCGTTGGCGACCACGGCCAAATTGGTGCTTGGGGTCTTGTAGACGTCGTGGCCGTCAACACGGACAAACTCGTCGTCGAGGTTGCATTGGAGTTGGCGTGGCCTTCCCTGCGAGTCGAGCTGAGCCTCGGCCATCGTAAGGGCAGCCTTGTTTGCTCGGCGCTGAGCACGGTTGACGTTCCTGTTGGCGCGGACGACGTGGTCCTCCTCGGTTTCCCCTTCCTGCGGGGAGCTGCCGACGCTGACGTTGAAGATTGCGCCGCCACGAAAAGGAGGGAGAGGAAGTAGTTCGGTGGTGGTTTCAGCGACGGTCTCTGTAGAGCCCTGGGACTCAGAGTCTGGATTCTCCTCTAGGATGGTTTGGAGGGATGCTCTGGAGCGTCGGCCGACGTGCAGCATGTTGATGGCCGGCGGAGGCTGATCGGTGATCTAGTCGGCGGGGGGTTGGACATCTCCAACCTGGTCGGTGAACTTGCCCCTTAGGGCATCCTGGTAGGAGGCGGCGACGTTGGTGAGCCCGAAGGGCAGAGCCGCAACCCCTAGAGTTTTCCAAGCAGCCTCCGATAGATCTGGATCGGAGGGTGGCCGGCGCTGAACCAGAGTGTCTATAGCCGATTCAGCGATGGAGAGGCTATCGGCGAGCTTCTGACCAACCTGATCGACGGATGCGATCAGATCGTCGTTGTTGATCTGCCTCCTCTGGTAGCGAGGAAGCGGGACGCGAGTTGTCGATGAAGGCGATCTCGGAGGCGGTTTCGAGATCGGATCTACAGTCGCAGGTATTGGGGTGATCGGCGCAGAATTGATCTGCACCGGCTCGATGAGCTCTCCGACTCCGTCAGCGTTGATGATCTACGAGATCGATCCGACTATGAAGATCTGGCCAGGCTGCGGGAGGGACGAAGAGCCTACGGAACGTACCATCTTGTTCGATATAGAAACAGCACGCACACCCCTACCTAGCGCGCCAACTGTTGACAGAATATCATCGGCAGTCCTCCAAGGGGTATCTCACGAAAGTAGATTGATCGACAGAGGCGTGTAATCGAGAACAAGAAGGCAATAGAGACACACGAGTTAGACAGATTCAGGCCGTCAGTATGACATAATACCCTACTCATGTGCTCTGTTGGATTGTATTGGCTATCGTATGATATTGCGTGTGTTTGGAGGGGGTCCCTGCCCGCCTTATATAGTTTGAGGGGCAGGGTTACAAGTCGGTTAGATATGGAAGATAACTGGAAAGTAATAACAGATTACAGAAATTATGGGATCATACGTATCCTAATAGATTTCGTAGTATCTTCAGGATATCTTCCCGGTGTGTTGCGGGAGACGCCGAGCAGCGTCGTGCCCCACAAGGCTTCATCTTGTGGGCTGAACCGCCCCTGGGGGCGCAGCCCATGTGGTCTGCCGTGGATATCCGATGTCGTACCCCCCACAGGTTACATGCCCCAAGAAGACTGATCGCGACAAAAGAGAATCGCCGTCCTACCAGGACACGTCGCGGGCTAAAAAAGAAGGCCAAGGCCCTCAAAGTCCTCCCGTCCGAAAAAACCTCCAAAGAAGTATTCTACTCCACAGGTTCGGGGGCTACTATCGGGTATCATTATTAAGGATACCCAAAGCAAGGAGGTTAGCACCCACGCTGACTCCCCCGGATGGCTCTAAGACATATTAAAATGTCTCGAGTGACCCCAAGGCAGCGGGCTCCATCTCACCCAAGGTCGCAGGTTCCGTCTCGCCCGACCCTCGGGTGCGGGCTCCGTCTCGCCCAACCCCTCGGGCGCGGGCTCCGTCTCGCCCGACCCCAAGGCCACGGGCTCCATCTCGCCCGACCCCTTGGGCTCGTGCTCTGTCTCGCTCGACCCTAAGGCCACGGGCTCCGTCTCACCCGACCCCAAGGCCACGAGCTCCGTCTCGCCCGACGGCCAAAGATCGACGGGACCCGCATGAAGGAGAAGGACCCAACAATCCTGGAAGCCTTCTCTCTTCCCTCTCACGCTCTCTCGTTCTTCTTATTTTCCTCCACTGTAACCGACGCTTTCCCTTCGCCTATAAAAAGGGAAGCAGGACGCCCCATGAAAGGGGGCCGGACCACAAGATAAAAACACAAGAGCACGACACGAGCACACGGCTGAGCGACAATCGAGCTCTCAGCACCCGTTCACTCCTTCCACCAGACATGGGATCATTTTTCTCTCTCGCCTGTTTGTAACCCCTACTGCAAACCAAATGCCGGTAACACGAGCAGCAGTGAACTGGACGTAGAGACGTTCCACCCGAACCAGTATAAACCCTTGTATCCTCCAAGACCACCATCCAAGCCAGACGCGCAAATACAAATTTACTTGTCGGTGGTCCGAAAACACCGACACCACTCTATGTACATTCTTCACCCAGACTCCCAAGCCACACAAATCAGAGTATTTCATGATTAGGAGATGAAAACCCTGACACACTCCGAGAAGTCGCAAACATCTCCTGTCCTGGGGCATGTAATCCTCCCGTCATTTTTCTTGGACATCTCTTGAAGCGCCTGTGGGCAAAATATTGAGCAAGCGCTAAGCTAAGATGGTTTGAAATGAACTGAAGCTTTACAAAGAACAGCTCGGTCGAGCGCATACCTTCTCACTGTAGACATAGCCGTTCGGCAGAACCCGAGGCGGGTTCTCAGTGTCCATGAGCTCCTTGGTGATGTAACAGACGAGCTTCGAGTGGTGCTGCTTAGAAAAGGGCAGAGGCTCGGCTAGTTTCCTGAAGCCCTCCAGGGACAAGGGGTCTTCCCTAGGGCAGCTACCCTCAGTGCAGAATCTTTAGATGGTTAAGGACAATACAAGATACCACAACCACAACGGATATTAGTAATCTATATTTTAGCAATAAAAGACTGTTGAGAAAAGTAAGGGATAATCATGTGAAGGATACGGGGTCTTGAGAGCTGTCAGGCCTGCTTGCAGGTATATGTTCAGCAATGGCTCTAGGGTCATGCCATACAACTTGCAAAAGTCTTGCTTGAAAATGTCAACAAGATAGTCCCAGCGGTCTTGCTCAAACAATATCTACAAGTAAAAAACAGTATCAGGTATGCAAAACATTTCTAGTGCAGCCACAGTACTCCTTCAGGAGTTGATCCCAAATAAGCGATGAACGTCAGACACCATACATGTACATTTCAAAATCCATGCTCAAGCCAGGAAACAAAATATACTTTGGTTAAGGTGTCATATTCATGAGAAGACTTTTTGAGTCCCAGCTCAAGTTGACTGTCAGCTACAAACTAAAGATGCCATACAGAACCAGGGCTTTTCTACCTCCAGCTGTTGTCCAATTTGTGACACAGTGGCATATCATAATAACTGAGAACAATGAAAATGCTGCTAACCTTGTATGGAGTACAATTAGTATTGCTTCTAAAAACCAATGTGGCTGTGACACGCTGCAATTCTTTCATGTGTATAGAGCCCCAGGGAGCAAGGTGTTTTCGAGCATATGCTATAGCATGAATGCAATTCTTAGCCTTGACAAATTCCACAAATTCTTGAAGCCTCAGTAAAAACTCGAGCTTACTCTGTAGGCAGCATAACAAAAGTCATAATGTACAAATAAAAAGCATAAACAAAAATCAAAATATAATAGAACACAGAAAAGCATTGGGATAAATACATAAAGACATGCAATTAATCAACTAGTGAGATCAGGTTTATTTGGAAACTGGTAACCGGAAATATCAAGAATCGCAAAGCCATCCGTCATTACAAATATTGGAATCAATTTATCCATTGTGAAGCAACGAAACAATTAGAGAAATGAACAATTTCAACAAGTAAATTAAAATAATAATAAAATGTCTAAAGAACTATTAGAATCATTACTGGTCTGACATTCATGGCATCACCGCAATCAGCCATTTGTCAATGGTTATATCATAACACAGATTCATTATCTAACACCAGTAATATGCTGATCGAATTAGATCAATAATAAGGCAGAAGAAAGTCAAGCAAACCTTTGATTTCTTTAGCCGAGACTTGTTTTCTGCACACCAAGCTAAAGCAGGAGCAACTTCATTATTCTGAAGAGAATCAATTACTTTTTTCGCATCCAGGAAGACATCAATATCAACGAGTTCCTGCATATCAACAATTGGCAAGTTAGCTGGACAACACATGCAAGGTGGAAAGGTCAGACAAATAAGGAAGATTATGCCATTCCGTTTCACATCAACTATTAAATGAACAAAAGCAGGAGAAACTAGACATCAAAATGTGACAGAACAGTAAAATACAATCGCATTGAAATCCGATATTGGAAGCCATAGAAGTCGCAGGTGAGATCAGTAGCCAATGTAATCTCCCTTGTTTGGTAGGAGGAATGCCATACATAATATGTAGCATATCATAGAACAACTGGAAACTGAATCATACAGCCAAGCCAATCAAGACATGGCTCAGGCAAGAACATTTAACCAGAGTAGAAGGCCAAACACCAATATAGAATGATGGGAATAGTAGATGAGGTGTCCAGAAGGAGACTAGGAAATTCAAATCATTATATTTAAACTTTCTGAAATGTGGTACAGGATCTTAACAGATATTTATTCTTTAAAAATTTACTTAAACAACTTCAGCAATCTCTGCTTGTCCATCCCCCCTTGGGAGTTAAAGACAGTGGCTAACAAGGGGAGGAAACACATTAGCACATATCAAATGCATGATGTTTGCTTATGCACATTGTTAGACACATAGCAAGTCATCCATGTGAGGTTACCGTAGTGAGATGAATGGTGCATCAATGCTTTCCAAGTTTAATATCCTTTCATGTTAAATGCTTTGATAAAGAAAAGCCTCGATGGCATATTGGCATGGATGACCTACAGTGTAATAATAGGCTACAATGTTTAAACGGAGCTCTTGGATCTAATGGATTCGTCGCGATTGTGGAAGCGGGAGTACCTTGAAAAGATCATACTATCGGTTTATAACCAAAGTAGTGCAACTTAAGTCTACACCTTGTTGGAGGTCAGTTTGAAACAATATGCTACCCATACTAAACTAGATATCTAAAGTTCAAAAGCTCTCACATCATATTGATCCCAGATTTCTACATCAACATTAACTAGATATCTAAAGTTCGAAAGCTCTCACATCATATTGATCCCAGATTTCTACATCAACATTACAACATTCACAAAGAAAAAAAAACATCAACAGAAATTAAAAAAAAAAAAGAATCTTACTGTGAACTGCCAGCCATTCTTATACCTGAATACCAGAAGTTTCAGCGAGTTTGGTGGCGGAATCGTAGTAGGACATCCGAAGCATGTAATCGACCAGGATCCTCTTCAGCCGTATGTCGTCCCACTCAGCGTCGTCACCGGTGCTAGCAGTTGCCAGCCGATCCAGACGCGCCCGGCACCGCTGCACCTGCAGCTCCGCCGCCCGCGCGCCCTCCTCCATCTGGAAGACACGCCGCTCAGGGAACACCACAAAGACACGATTTTTTTCTTCAGCGAAAATCAGAAACAGGAAACGGTAAATCAAAGCCCTAATAAGATCTTCTCCAGGCCAGGTACGATTCGATTCTGCGAGATAGAGGAGAGGAAGCGGGTGTGGGATTTGGGGAGGGAGTAGTACCTTGCGCTTGAGGCCGTGGAGGCGGGAGACGAGGGAGGTGAGGTGATCAACGGCAGCGGCACTGCTCTTGGCGGGGGCCGCGGAGGCGGAGGAGAGGACGGCGGCAATCTCCTTCTCGGCGAGGCGGTGGTTCGAGCGGGCGGTGGCGCGGAGGGACTCGAGAGGCACGCGCACCAGCTGGTGCTCCAGACGCACCGCCTCCGCCGCGCGCGTCTGCCGCCCCGCCGCTGCCGACGGCGGCGGCGGCGGCGTGGGCGGCGGCGGCGATGGCGTGTCGATGGCCATATCCATCGCCTCTTTCCCTCTTTCTTGGGTCTACTCTCTAGAGAGAGAGGGGGTGGGGGACAGGGAGAGCAGACAGTAGAGAGAGGGAGAGGGAGCTGTGGAGGGGGAAGAAAAGGGTGGAGATGAAATAGTTTTCTGATGCAACTGCTCGTGTTGATCCTGAACAGGGATTGTGATTTTGGACTCGATAATTCAGCTTTCCATGTAATCCAGTAGATTTTTTAATCTATTAATAGTAGATTATTTAATCTTTTAATAAAGAAAAGATAAAAATATGCTTTTAGAACTTGTAGCGAACTATTATAGTAGAAAATACAAGTTTTAAGGATTTCAATGAATAGTTGAATGTTTCGAAATCCACCACACATAGAGTAGTCGGTTTACACGCCAGGTTACCTCACATGAATAGTTTTCTTTGTATGCAGTACTAGTTTCTTCTCTTATCGCTTTGGTTGATAAGTTAAGCTGAAAAGTATTGTTTACTAATTTATTGTGAAAGAAAAACATTATTCGTCCGCTGAAAAAGTACGGCCCATTAGACAGGTTGAAAAAGTGCAGGCATTTTGTGTTGTTTTGAAGGCCATCCCCATGTGATTGAAGCGTATTACAGTTTACAAACAAACCTGATAAAAATAACTCCACTACGCCAATCTCGCTTTCATGCTGTCAAGTTGTTCTGTCCTCTCTTATTATCCTCATATATAGACAGTCACAGGAAGCAAACATTATCATCATAACAAGCACTATTTGAATAGAGGAAGCATCTCACTCACTAGACTCACAAACTCAGCATCAGCAAACATACTGCTAGTAACAAAATGATTTAAATGAAAATTAGGAGTAGGAGAGCATTAGCTGATTCAGGGACAACGCTTGTGTTATGAATACGGCAGGATTATACGGGGAGAAAATGGCCACTAGAAGCACATCCACAATCCGTTCACATAAGACATATTTGAATCAAAAAGTGACAGGCAAAAGCTCACTGCAAAAGAGGTTATGTTATTCTTCTCCCAGGTTGTATGAACAGAAATGAAACCCTAGTCTAAGGTGTACAACCCACACCAGGTTTCGCCGAATCGGTCTGATGCAGCAGCAAGGAAGCATGGGAATTTGACACTGTAACTATATTCCGCAGCAAAGGAGGCAATTCACAGTTTCCCAGAGGAAACGAACGACAAAGCTAGATGTTTCAAGACCACATCCATACAAATTTATTCCAAAATCTTGGGAAGTGCTTTGAGCTCACAGTTCAAATCATATCTACAATCACATATGGATTGCCTTTGTGTAGGTGTCAAGGCAGGCTTCCTTCAGGGCCTCACTAACTGTCGGATGAGCATGACATGTGCGGGCTATGTCCTCACTTGATGCTCCATACTGAAGTGCAAGCACGGCCTCATGGATGATCTCACCGGCATTAGGGGCCATGATGTGTACGCCGAGAACTCTGTCGGTTTCCTTCTCAGCTACCACCTTCACCAACCCTTCAGCATCATCAATCGCCTTTGCGCGGCTGTTTGCCAATAGAGGGAACTTTCCAACCTGGTAGGCAATGCCTGATTCCTTCACCTGTTCCTCTGTCTTGCCAACAGAGGCCACCTCAGGGTGCGTGTACACCACGCCGGGCACAGTATCATAATCTGCATGGCCTTCCTTCCCCGCGATGAACTCGACGCATGCAACCCCATCTTCTTCAGCTTTGTGTGCAAGCATGGGTCCAGGTATCACATCACCAATCGCATAGACCCCATTAACATTTGTCATAAAGCGCTTGTCGACAAGGATTCTTCCACCCTAGTCCATCTCGACACCGATGGTGTCCAACCCAAGGTCAGCAGTATATGGTGTTCTGCCAGCAGATACCAGGACAATATCTGCGTCAAGCACACTCTGCTCTCCACCAGCAGCAGGCTCCACAGTTAACTTGACACCACTCCCAGAAGTATCAACCCCAACTACCTTAGTCTTGAGCATGAACTTCATTTTTTGCTTCTCCAACATACGCTGGAACTGCTTCCGAATCTCTCCATCCATTGATGGGACAATGTCAGGAGCAAATTCCACAACAGTAACCTCAGACCCTAGCCTGTTCCAGACAGAGCCCATCTCTAAACCTATGTATCCAGCTCCAATAACCACCAACTTCTTTGGTATTTCTTTAAGAGCAAGAGCACCAGTAGATGATACAATCTTTTTCTCGTCTATAAGAACTCCAGGGAGCGATTTCACATCTGAACCAGTAGCAATGATTATGTTCTTTCCTTTGACGGTAGTGCACCCGCCATCAAGCAAGTTCACGGCTACCTCAGAAGGGGAGACAAGCTTCCCAATTCCTCTCACGTATTCAACAGCGTTCTTCTTGAACAGGCCTTCAATACCTTTTGTAAGACCAGCAACAGCCTTGTCTTTCTGCGACATCATGGCAGGCATATCTATTTCCAGATTGGAAAACTTCACACCATGGTGCGCAAAAGAACTCTTTGCCTCATGGTACATGTGTGACGAATGAAGAAGAGCCTGGAATTTTGAAGTACATGGGTCAGCATTGTTAATTAAGCAACAGAAATTTAACTCTTCTAGCTGCAATGAGGCACTCAGGGGAAATACTACTCAACCTCAATGAAGTAAGGTTTTACTAAGTCCCATGATCATAGTATGGAATAAAATAAACAAACACTTTTTTCAGCTAATGATCACGAAGAAGCCAATATACTTAACCTTGGATTGCTACAGCCAGCTAAAATGTGCACTAAAAATTTTACATTTGCAGGGTTTACACATGCCAATGTTAAAAACAAACAAGCCAAGTCATCAAAATGGTAATTCAGCAGAGTTTGCAGCAACACTTGTTCAAGCAACCATCTCCAAGAATACTTAGACATACCTACATGGTTTTATCAGGTTGTACATTACGGTTTCACATGTGCTGATGTGGATAAGAAAGCACAAGAAAACACGCCAAAAATGTATAGAATGAGTAAGTTTTGGGATTCTGAGCACCTAAATCAAACTTCAAAAGGATTAAGGTTGAATAAAAGTTTACTACAGTCATTGAGAAAACTCAAAGAGGAACAAAGTATAGGAACAGAAACAAAAAACTACAAAACTCGAGCTCTCAAGGACTCAAAGGTTCTTGAATTTGGCATCTAGCTTCACCACTAGTAAATTGTAAATTGCAGTTGACATTTTCTTTCCCGCCCATAAGTAGAAAGAGACCAAATATGTCATATGTGGCATTTTATAGGTTAAATATAATACCACTGCAAAAACAAGGGTGGTTCCACATAGTTCTGGATACTCACACACACACAAAAAAAAAAAAAAAAAAGTTTTAGTTTTGGAAGCCACCCTAATTGCCCCACTCTGAGTAAAGAAACAAAGAGCAATTGACAAACCTTCCAACTACATGCTCAATGATAACCATCTACAAACAAATTAAAGCAGTGGACTGCAAGAAAAAATATACCTAGGAAACACAATAGCAGCAATATTGTAAATAAAGTACAGAATAACTGAACACAAATTACTTGTAAGACATTATTAGCACGTGAGGGGAAAAAAACATTCTCTGTTATGATCAGGTTATTGTCAGCAATATATCGTGCAAACACCTGGAGTTGTCATATATAATTGCATTAAGAAGGCCTAAACACACAAGAACTCAATCGTGCTTCCAATGCATTTACTACATGAACGAGACATGGCATGGTTCCTAATACAAAATGAGACCCAAACGATGCATCAAGGCACAGCCAAATGGAAGGGAAAAGTCACATAAATCACACCCTCACCAACACATTTCAACAGTTAACAATCAATCATTTCTAAAATGTACCAGCAAAGAGCACGGTAACCTCACCAGCAGGGCCCCGAACGCACAACCTAGTCAGGCTCGCGCAACGCAGCAGTGCAGCACCAATGATAAAGCGAACAATTAAACACCCAAACATCTCCCAGTTAAACTAACCGGCACCTGAGGTCAGAACTATGCAAAGCATTGGAATGAACCATTAAATTGACTCCACACTAAGAACGGCAAAATTGACGCAACAGACCTTAAATGCAAACCCTAGAGACCAAATTGACGCAGGAGCAGGCATGGATCTAGAAGCTCCGAGTATCCCATGTCGCAACAGTAACGCGTTCACCCATCAACCAGATCGCGCACGGAGTGCACAGAGGGACAGTACGATGCAGCCGACGTTGAGGCAGGTGCCGCCCAGGGTGCCCCTCTTCTCGATGCAGGTGGTCCTGAGCCCCAACTGCGCCGCCTTGATCGCCGCCACGTACCCGCCGGGCCCGCCGCCGATCACCACCACGTCGGTCTCCTCGATCGTCGCGTACGCCGCGCCGACGCCCAGGCCCCCGCCTGCGGCCGCCGCAGCAGCGCATCCGCCGCGCGCCTCCTCGCCTGGCTCGCCATCGCCATCTCGCGGGCACCTCGCTTCGATTTCTTTTATTTCCTTTTTTTTATTTTTTCGTCTGTCGATTTCAGACTTTTTTTTTTTGGAGCTTGTGTGACCTTTTGCGCAAGAAAGAAGAGGGCAGAGCTGTAAATGCGAGCAGTCAACAGCATGGTTGAGACCACGGACAAGAAGAGGGTGGTTTTTTTAACAAGGGGAAGAGGTTCATTTTAAGAGCAAATTGTCCCTAAAAATTTTAGAGTTAAATACACGAGCAATCTTTAAACTTGTCATGGAGTGTTACTTAAATCTATAAACTTTAGAAATACATTTTTGAAACCCTAAACTTGTTAAGTCACGCATCGTAGATCCAAACTAGCCATGTGTATCACTACTAGAGAACAGACTTTAGAACGATATCTTAATTTGGCATTAGTCTCGGCATTTTTTGTCCCCGGGACTAAAGGTTCTTTTACTCCCGGTTGGAACCACCAACCAGGACTAAAAGTCCTCCAACATTTAGTCCCGGTTGGTAATACCAACCGGGACTAAAGGTAGACCCTTTAGTCCCGGTTAGTAACACCAACCCGGACTAAAGGACCATTTAGTCTCGGTTGGTAAGACCAACTGGGACTAAAGGTCCTTCGATGGGTTAGTTCAAAAGAAAAGCATCCCATCCATTGTTAGATGTGTTGTGTAGGTGGAGTGGTAAGCTCGCGCGAGGCAGTGCATGAGGTCTTGGGTTCGAATCTCATAGGGCGTAGCGGTGGGAGGCATTATTTTTTTTTAAACTGGGAGGATCTTTAGTCCCGGTTGTGGCAAACCGGGACTAAAGAACACCACCTTTAGTCTCGGAACGCTAGTCCCGGTTGGGAAACCGGGACTAAAACCAGTTCTCAACCGGGACTAGATGTCAGTTCTGTAGTAGTGTATATTCCTGGATGACATGTGCACGCTAATATGGCATGCATTTTTTACAGCGGTGCTGGCCGGGTGTGAGTTGTTCGATGTCTCATGTTCAGCAACGGCGTAACCAAGATCTTGAACACCGATGGGATTTGTCGTTCGGGTGCCTGGCATTCTTGGCTAGCAGCAGCGGCATGGCCATCATCCTTGGGAACGTCCAACCATGATCATTCGATGTGTGCGGTGTCAATTGTGCGTCCATTGGGTTCAAACCCAGCTCCTACTGATCCATCAACAGTTCCACGCTAGTATCAGTAGTAAGTTTGTGTATACCCTCTATATGGAATGTTGTAGCTACTGTTACCACATGCCAAACAAGCTTAGGGAGATGCCAAGGTTGTCATTGTTAGACTCATCTTTCTTCACTAGGTGAGTTGAAGGGGCAGGTTAAGGCTATGCTCCCCTCTAAAAGGTCCTTGTTTGGTTTTGATAATTGAGTGACAACCTTAGATGGACTAATATGTATTTGAGTGAGATACACAAGTGATTAGTCCACAAGTACATGTGTGTGAGCAACATACGTCATGACAGTGAAGATGGCTCGAAGATGTTGCAAAGCTCACACATATGATGAAGGAGCTCATTGTACATGAGACATGACATTGAGTCATGTGATCAAGGTGGAGAAGATCAAGACATGACTTAGCTTTTTTATGGACGGGTTACAAGTGTGAAGGGCAAGTCGAGTGATGACTTGGCGCCGATGGACCGAAGCAACGGTGAAGAGAAGTGAAGTCAAGATCGATAAACCAATATGATCACGTGATGATATGGAGTGGATCATATCATTGTTGATCATGTTGGTGCATGTGTTGCATCGACATTGGAGGAGATAGAATAAAATGCGCAAGGAAAAGGTATAACCTAGGGCATTTCATTTCATCGGTCATAGGTATGTAGAGAAGTTTATGACCGAATTTAGGATAGATGGCCGTACTATCAAGAGGGGCAAACTTATTTGTATATCGGTCATCTAGTGCCACTCGAGTGATCTAACTTTGCATCGTTACTAGGATCGATTGGCGTGGTGAAAAGAGTGCTAAACCTTTGGGAAAATATTTGTGAAAAGCTAACACATGTACACAAGGTGTTGCTCACTTGGTGGTGTTACCACATTTGTAAAGGTGAAGAAGTTGGTGAAGAAGTGAAGGTGAAACCAGGCTCAGAGTGCTGCCTAGGTGACACCGCCACCCCCTAGGGCGGTGCCCACCAGTCTGAGGCCGAGAGCGAGCAGAAGAGCTAGGGCACCGCCATGACCGGTGTGCTCTGCCATGAGGAGGGCGGTGGCACCGCCATAGGGTGTCCAGTGCACTGTCGTGGCACCGCCTCTTTTCGGCAGAGAGCAAGGGAAGACGAGGGGGTCACTACCATGGTCACCGCCATGGTGATGGCGGAGCACCACCCCTTTTTATCCAAAGAGTTGGTGTTTCACGCAGTTGGCCAGGGGGGTCACCGCCCCCCCTATGGCAGTGCACCGCCCCTAGATGTCCATTGACTAAGACCCCAATGGCTAAGTGAAGTAGCCATTGGAATTTGACCGTTGGGGAGGGCACCGCCGTGTTCGGTGTCTTCGTAGAAACCAGCAGCTTTGCTCCAACGGCTCTATTCGGCTTGGGGACTACAAATATAGGTGGAGCTCTGAAAGGTCCTAATATGGCTAGAGAGGGGTGAATAGCCTATTTAAAAATCTACAAATCAACTAGAACAATTTGATTAGTATGACAAATAGCGTAATGCAAACTTGCTTTAGCTCTACAAGGGTTGCAAGCCACCTATCTAACAATTTTAGTTGCAATGATTACTTAGGCACACAAACTTTCTATGTAACTACTCACTAAGAGCTCTCAATCTTGCTACTCTAAAGAGCTCAACTAGATGAATGTAAATAATAAAGCAAGCTCTCAATTCTAATTACACTAAAGAGCTTGTATCAACTAGTTTGCAAGAATATAAATAAGTGAGTAGGGTGATTATACCGCCGTGTAGGGGATGAACCAATCACAAGATGAATATATAGCCAATCACCGGGAGAATGCCAAAGACAAGAGACAATCGATTTTCTCCCGAGGTTCGCGTGCTTGCCAACACGCTACGTCCCCGTTGTGTCGACCAACACTTGGTGGTTCGGTGGCTAAGAGGTGTTTCACAAACCTCGTCCACAAGATAGGACACCGCAAGAACTGATCCACAAGTGAGGTAACTCAATGACATGAGCAATTTACTAGAGTTACCTTTCAGCACTCCATCGAGGAAGGTACAACTCCCCTTACAATCACCGGAGATGGCCACGAACAATCACCAACTCGTGCCAATCCTCCACTGCTACTCCAACCGTCTAGGTGGTGGCAACCACCAAGAGAAATAAGCGAAATCAGCAGCGCAACACGAATGCCAAGTGCCTCTAGATGCAATCACTCAAGCAATGCACTTGGATTCTCTTCCAATCTCACAATGATGATGGATCAATGATGGAGATGAGTGGGAGAGTTTTCGCTAAGCTCACAAGGTTGCTGTGTCAATGAAAATGGCCAAGAGAGTGAGCTTGAGACAGCCATAGGGCTTAAATAGAAGCCCTGTAACACCTCGGGTGTTTAAATATTAAAAACCGGACATATCATCATATGCATTGCAAGGCATTGGTCATGTTGCAAATTTTGTTATGCATTCACTAAACACAAGTTTACATTTATGTTATAAGTATTGCTTGGTATTGTTTGAATCAAGTTTGAAATCGTTGTATTGATTTGAAATTCCGAAAACCCTGATTTTCAATATTTAAATCCGACCTTGAAAATCCATTTCAAAATTGAAGCACATTTTGGGGTTGAGTCTTAAAGCAAAGTTGTAGAGCTTGTCGAGTTGTACAAAGTTTATTTTTGGAGTTTTTCAAGTTGTTTAGTAAAATTTGAAGTTATTTAAAAAGGCGAAATTCCTTAAATATCCCTGCTTTAAATTTAAAAGTTCATTTCAAAATGTAGGCCGAATTTGGGTATGGTTTCAAAGCAAAGTGGTAGAACTTTTGATTTTGAACAACTTTTATTTTTGGAGATTTTTGAGTTGTTATGAAAATTTGGGAGTAATTTGGGAATTTTGGCGGATGCCAATTCTGTAATTTCGATGAACAGTAACCGCGGAAGCCAACTCATCGCCGGTGATCTTCGGTTTGCTTCCAGGCGCGGTCGTGGCCATTTTTGGCGTCGCGCTGGCGTGGTGAAGGCCACAGCGTAGCTTCCTTGAGCTTCTGAGCCGTGTTATTTGGACCGAGGCGCCGTCGTCGTCGTTCTTTTCTCTTGCTCTGTTTTCTCCCGCCGTCACCGCCATTCTCCGTTGAGCCCTCGCCGTCAAACCAGCGTCTGCGCCGTCGCAGCGATGCGTGTCCCAGCTCCGCTAGTTCCTTGCGCACCCAGCCAGCTAGCTCTAGTCGCTTGATTTCGCCGTGAACTCGCCGTTCATCGTTTTCTTCCTCACGGCCGGCAACCTCACCCGAGATTCCGTTTCACCGTGGCCAGCCTACTCCGGTGAGCCGTTGGCCTTGATCAGTGTACCTATGGCTTCGTCTCGATGCTGTGGTGCTTAATCCTGTGTTGCTTGCTAGTTTTGATCACTGCAGTCGTTGGTTCTTCCTCACCGATGATCTTTGCTCCGCCGTGATCACCGTGGTCGTCGTCACGCCTCTCCGTTGCTTCTCCGACCTCGCTCCTTGCTTCAACGCGTTCAGGGTGAGCTACTGGTGTTTCCTGGATCCTTTGTTTGAGCTCTACTGGTTTCACGTCGCCGGCGTAGCGCTGCTGTGCCACCACGTCCGCCATGGCCGCCGTCGAGCTAGTATAGGGCCGTAATCAGTACAGATAGGGATGTCAATCGATGCGCATAGTCTTGGTGAGCATTTTAGTACCTTGGTCGTCGCTGTTGGACTCACCGTCGACGAGGAATCACCGGTCAGAGCCGTCGCTGCCGTGGTCAACGTCGGAGGTTGAAGATGACAAGTGGGACCCGGTTGTCAGTGACTCAGCGTTCAAAATGAATTTTCTGTTTTTCCGATTTAAATGAATAG